TCGGGGGAGCCGGGGGGCGCGGGGGAGCCGCGGGCTCGGGCGCTGATGTCATGCCGGGGACTGGGCATGCTCGAGTGGGGCGGCCGCCCGCGCCTCCGCCGCGCCCCTGCGGCAGCCGCCGGCACCGGAGCTATCCCGGGGCCGGGAGCGCATCCCGGGATCCCCGTCCCCATCCCCAGCCGGGATGGGCAGCCCCGCAGAGCGGCGGCGGCACGGCGCTGAGCAGCGCAGAGGGATGCCAGCCAAGTTTGGGGGGTTTTATATCCGCCTTTAAAACGATGAAATGAACCCAAATCGCCTCCCCCCCGCCCGGCCCTGCGCGCCCCCCGCGCTCTGCCGGGGCTCGGCTGATCCAGGGTTTAATGGGAACAAAGGGTCGGGATGCGGCTCCTTCCCAGCCCAGCATCTTCCCTTCCCCTCTTCCTCTCCTTTTCCCTTTCCCTTTCCTTTTTCCTCTCCCTCTCCTTTTCCCTTTCCCTCTCTTTTTCCTCTCCTTTTCCCTCTTCCTCTCCTTTTCCCTCTGTCTCTTCTTTCCCTCTCTCCTTCCCTCTCCCCTTTCCCCTCTCCCTTTCCCTCTCCTCTTTCCCTTCTCGCTTCCCCTCTCCCCTTTCCCTTTCCCTCTCCTATCCCCTCTCCCGTAGCTGATCCCTCGGAGGGCAGCCCTCAGAAACCCCCAGTGTCTCTTTGGGTGAGGGTTCACGGGCAGATTTTTGGTTTAGTGTCCAACCAGCCTGGTGTGTGGTGCTTTATTTCATATATATATATATTATATTGTGTATAAATATTTCATATACTGCTCATCTGTTGTATCTATTTCATATGCTGCTCATCAATAACATGTTCCATGCTGTGTGGCGATGAAGAGACCCTAAAATTAATTGTCAGCACAACTCCTTGCACAATTTGTTAAAATCCTTACCAAAACCTTGAGGTCATCAGAAACTTTGCTGGTGAAAGTTGCAGAAGAGCCTTGAGGAAAAAAAGGAAAAAAAAAAGGGTGAATTATGAGCATAAACAGCTTGTGGTTGTTATTTTTTTTTTTTTTAATATGAAATGCCCTCTGTCCTGCCAAATTAATTGTCTTTCTGTGAAGGTTAAAGCTGTGGCACCCCCAGCAGCCTGTTAACAATAGAATAATCAAATTGGTTATCAATCTTGGGCAGCAGCAGAGGGCTGGGTTTGGCCAGCAGATATTGGAGAGAAAATGTATCTGTGCCATTGTGATGGCTGAGAAACAAATGTCAGCAGGTTCCCCTCCCCCTAAATAAATAAACCCTCGGACATATTAAAAGCAGATTAAAATACAGCTCATGTAAATCCCTTCCAGTGCTGTGTTTTGAAGAGAATTGGAGTTTGGAATTCTCTTTTCCCACTCATAATGTGTCTTTGTCTAGAGAGTATCTGTTGGCTGGGAAAACAGTAACTGTGATGCTTTGGAAAAGGTTTTTGTGTCTTGCAAGCAGAAAATAATTCCTTTGGTGAGGGTAAAAAGAGGAAAAATAACAAAAACTGGTAATTTCCTACCGTGGAAGTAAAGAAAAAATGGAGAGAAACAAGGAAAGTGCACGTATTTATTGATATAGGTGTGCATTTTACATGGATGTTCAGGTTGGAGGGTGATTTGCTACCTTGAAAAATCTAGTCAGAAGCTTAGAGTTTGCCTTTCCCTACCTAAGGCAAAAATTGTAATTATTTAGGATTTCAATCAGCTCAACCAATGCAATATGTCCTCAAATCCAGCTTCTGTTTTCCGAGGAGGAGCCATCAGCTGGAGCTCTGTGGGAAGAGCTCTACTTTGGTGGAGTGGAAGTGAGCACAGAAATCTTCCCTGATTCTTTGTCCTCTTTATTTGCAGCCCTGAGCTCTGGTGGAACTCGATCCCCTGCCGCAGCAGGAGTGGGGAGTGCTGCTGGCTTTTTGTTATTTTGGTTATTTCATTGGTTTGGAGTGGCTGCTTTGCTCCAACAAATAATGCCTGGCAGGGGCAAGGGATCCTGATCTGTGGGAAGGCAGCACCAGAGCAGAGTTCCTTCTAGGAAAAGCAGGATTTCAGTCTTCAAAAGCTCTAGGGAGCAAAAATAAACCAGGACCAACCACTTTTGTTTTGTTTTGTTTTGTTTTACTATAGCATTTGAAAACACTGCAATGCAGCTTTTATTTTTGATCCCTGGATTGGAAAGAGAAGGGTTCTGTTGAAATTTAAGAGACCAAACAAAACTATCAACTTCCCCTCAGAGGAATTATGTCATCATGTAAGGAAAAAATAAAATATAACTGATTTAAGGGAAACATCTATTTTTTTTTTTTTCTGACTAGTAAGTCTGAATAAATTTATTCCTTCCCAGTAAACACAGGGAAGAGGCTTTCTCCCTGCATTTCCCACTGTCATCTCCTGTTACACTTCCCTGGGGCCTTGGGCAAAAAAAATTACGGATCATGACTTGGTGTTTCTGGGAAGGAGCAGCAGAGAGGGAAAGTTTAACCACTTAGGCTGAGTTTGCTTAGGCTGGGCTGGGGCTGTGCTGTGTGAGCAGAGCTGCCCTAGGGCAGTGTCCTGAGTCCTTTCCAGCTGGGTGAATCCCTGGGATTGGGATTTTACCCCGTGTTTTGGGGTTTGGGTTTATTTGGTGTCTCCTGTCCAGCTCCGTGAGAAGCGTGGAGGGTGAAAACATTTTCCCTTCAATTCCCCTTTGCTTCAACCAGACAAAAACTCTGTGTTTCCATTCTGCCAGGAAGTGTAAAGCACAAAAAACCTTTGAGGTGAGTCTCCCCTGTAAGCAGGGCAGGAAAAGGGGATGAAGGGGATAAACCCAGGGCTTCCTTCTGTGCTTGGCTGCAGCTTGGATTTACCTCCCTCTGCTCCTCTGCAGCCTCAAGGTGACTCTCTGATGGATTGTGCTGGCTGACAGACCTAAAAATGTGGTTTTCTACTGGCCTGCTGCTGGTGGGGGAGCGTGGAGCTGTTTGCTGGGTGGCAGAGCCCAGCAGCTCCCGGCCATGCCCTGTTCCTCCAGGTGCTTTTATCCCTCAGCACCTGGGAGGGAAGGATGCAGAGAGCATCAGCACCTGCTGGGATAATCCCTGGTTTAGGTTTGGGGCTTGGCTTTATCCTTCCAGCCAGCTCTGATGTAGAATAAATAAGAATTTAGCTGTGGAAGGGGTTAAAAAAAACCAAAAAACAACAAAACAACCAACATTTCTAAGGGATTGTAACCAGGAAATAGTTTGGCTTCTGATGGAATGGAGCTGAGTTTTACATCTCTTGTGTCTCACCCTCCATCGAGACTGATAACAGAATAAAACCTTTTAAAACCCCTCCCAGCTGCCCCTGTAGAGCTGGGATTTTCCAACAAGTCCTGAGTGGAAAAGAGGAGCTGGAAAACAGCAAGAAAAAAGCAAGGAGCAGCTCCCAGATGGAGGGACCTGCCAGGAGAACAGCACCTCCCATCCCCTGCCAGCTCCTCCACCAAGGCACAAGGTGTTTTCATGTTTTCACCTCCTTTTTCTCCTGGCTGTGGAGCAGGCAGCACTGGGATGATCCTGGGGGGTTGTCCAGGCAAACTCCTCCTGGTTTTGGGAAGCAGAACCCCCCAAAGCGGCTCGGGCAGGGATCAAAGGCTCTCCTTTGTGCCTGGCGGGAGGGATTTGTAAAGCCGGGCTTAGCGGGAGCTGCTGAGCTCTGCAGAGCCTCCCCTTCCCCTCCCTGCCCATCCCGGGGAAATCCAACCACGGGAGCATCCCTAGGGTTGGGCTTTACTCCCGGTGGGGGAAATTCTGTTGTGTCAGGGGTGAGATATTCCCCATAAATAACTGGTGTGGCCCAAGGCAAAGTGCTGCTGTGCCCGGGCACTGCTGCTCTGCAGCGTCGTGTTCCACGGGAGGCATTCCCAATATTCTGGGAGAGAAAGGAAAACAGGGATTGGCGGCTGATTCCTGTCCCAGCAGGGTTGTGGTTCTGTTTATTTATTGATTTTTTAAAAATGCTTTCTGCTCTAAGTACTTTATGGAATGTCTCGTGGAGGGATTCTTGCTCAGTTTCATCCCCGAAATATTTTATTTCATCCCTAAAATATTCTGCTGACTCCACTGGTATATATGGAATCTTTTATTCCTCATATGCCGGTGAAGTCAGCAGAGTTTGTGCACGCTCTAAAACCCCTCCTGCACAGAGATCTCTGAGTGCTGCTTAACACTTGTCACCCTGTGGGTAAAACAGACCTAAAAAAATACATAAATCCTTGGGATAGTAGATAAAAGGCTATTTAAAAAAAAATACAAAAATTAAACAACTGCCATCCTGGGAATTTTTTTTTTTTTTTTGGTGTGTGCAGCTTTTCCCAAAAGCCAAGCATCCATCTCTGCCCCCAAAGCCACAACCCCTGTGCCTGTGGAGGATTTGTTCCTGTATTTATTCTATAAATAACTCCTGCCAGAAGCTCCTTCTGCATGGGAGATGTGAGCCTGGGACTTGTGCCTTGGTGGAGGAGCTGGCAGGGGATGGGAGGTGCTGTTCTCCTGGCAGGTCCCTCCATCTGGGAGCTGCTCCTTGCTTTTTTCTGTTTTCCAGCTCCTCTTTTCCACTCAGGACTTGTTGGAAAATCCCAGCTCTACAGGGG